CCAGCATTTATTCAAAGTTGTGAGTGTGAACCCACAACGCAGTTTGTTTGCTAGTTTAATACTTTGCAAGTGTCAATCAGAGCAACCATTCCACTTTTTCCCTCCTCTTGCTGCACTGCTCGGTCTGAGACAGTCCTCCTGGATTATCTAATTAGGCTCCGTGCTGTACCAGTCGATCTGTGCGTACACCACTTCATGCCTGACTATGTGCTTTTCCTGGCTAGCAGTACCATGATGCCACAGAAAAACGAATGGAGGAACACCAGTCAGTCTGCCAGATAAGCGCACAGGCGCGCACACACACACTTACTTCTTGGTTGCAATGTGGCGTCAGCACAACCACACTCTGCTGCCAAATCTGAATCTAATATCCTGTGTTCACCTCATGTTGCCCGGCCCTGGCCTCGACCCCAGTGGAAATTACACATCAGTGTAACTCTGTCTGTCCTTCTGTCCATACGTCTGTAGCTTGTCTGCGTGTCTGTCTGTCAATATATCTGCCTGTCTGGCTCTCCCGCATCTCTGTTTATATCTTTGTCGGTACTTGCCTGGCTGCCTGGTTGTGAATCTACCCGCCTTGTCTGCTATGTGCCCGTCTCCTGTTTATTTGTCTTCCTCTGTCTGTCTGTAGACCTGTCACACTGCATGGATACACTCGCTGTGCGTCTGGCTGTCCTCTGCTGTCTCTACATGTCTGCCTGCTGTGCGTTTTTTTTTCTTTTTTCCTGAATGCTCAGTCATAAAGAGGAACATCTGCAGTGGATCTAGCAGGCAGCAGCATTAGAGCAGAGCTGATAATGATAGTTTCTCTTTGGGCCGCTCAGAAGGCAGACAGACATAACATACCATTCAAGCGTTTCCTGTCTGTGCTGACAGGCAAACTATTTAACCCTCTGTGGTGAGCTCCGAGAGTATTTGCACAGCCAGGCAGCCCTATAGGGTCATACACTGTAAAACCAACTTCAAGTGAGAAAAAAATACTACTTCTGGAAAACGCAATAGATTGTTAAAAGCTTTTTTAGTACTAAGCTGGAAGTACACACATATTGATATTTCTTAATAAGCTAACTGTTGAGTACTACAGTGTGCCCGATTAATAGTAATGGGCACCTAAGAGCTTAAACGTACGCCAACGCCTGACATAAGCACTAAAAAGTCCACACGGTGTGGTAGAGACACACTTTAAGTCAAATAAAGACAATAAAAGAGGTTATAAATACCACTAAGTGCTATGAGGTCACCATAAACTTTCTGCTGGACAGCGCAGACATACTGAAAGTCCATACAGAAGAATTATCGGTTTCCTCTAAGGTATTTAGAGCGGCCCACAGCGAGTTAATAGCAGAACTGTTTAACCGTGTTGGATGAACACTAAGTCTGATTTGTTGTGCTTCTGTTGCCACACTGGAGAGTGCACATAAAACGGATTAGGCACTAAAGTCTGTCGGTAGGTTTTTAAGGTCAGGAGAACTCGTAAGAGGAGCAGCTAATGTTACTCACATATCTCCATTCCCTGTGGCTGGGAAGCGGTGCAGTTGCAGGAGCAGGTGACATTGGAGTTGCCGGGGCCGCCAGGAGCCGTTAGGTTTTGCATGGGGCTGGGCAGACCGGGACACCGCTCCGGGGAGAGAGCCGCCGCCGCCGCCGCCGCCGCCAGCGTCGGGGCCCCCCGACGGGAAAACAACGAAAAACTTCCAGGCAGCAGCAGCAGCAGAGTCTGCCGCTACAAGTAACTCCCGACAGTTTCGCTTTAATTATCCCACGGCTTTTCTCACGCCATAATTCTCTCGGAGCGGCTCGGTGAGAGAATCACTGGGAGAGCTGGGGACGAGCCATTGCCTGCGGCTAATGCATTGTACGGCTTTTTCCGTTCCTTCCTCCGTCGCTGAGAGCAGCTGTCTTTACCCTACTACAGCACGGCAGACACGGCGTCCTCAAGCCACGCCCGTAAACTGACAGAATGCCGCAGCGGCCTATCAGAGAGCTTCGGGGGAGGGACAGCGACGGGGTGGTGGGGGGTAGGGGAGGGAGGAGGCGCTGCCTTCAGGAGCGCTAAGAAATATCACTACCCTGACTTTAGCCAGCTA